TCGTCTTCTTATTCATCTTCGTCTTCGTCTTCTTATTCATCTTCGTCTTCGTCTTCTTATTCATCTTCGTCTTCTTATTCATCTTCATCCTCTTATTCATCTTCGTCTTCTTATTCATATTCGTCTTCTTATTCATATTCACCTTCTTATTCATCTTCTTCTTCTTATTCATCTTCATCATCTTCTGCTTCGTCTTCTTCTTCTGCTTCTTGCGGGAGGTGATTTCATTAAAATGTCATTAGAATAAAACAAGAACTAGTGGTGCTACAAAGTGGCACAGACTTTTCCGTACTATTTTTCTATTTCCTTTGGTCTCGGTTTGCCACATACTCTTGCCAGCTGCCATGTATGTCGCTGGATAAAGTATTTTATGATGATTATTTATTGATAATTTTTTGTCCTTTTCTTAATTATGCGGTAATTATTATTTTAAGATTATTAAAGAACAGTAAATCCACTTCCTAAATGGCAATTTTCTTTGAAAAATTTGGAGTCGTTTTTAAAAACTGGCGTTTAAGCGCTAATGTAAATTCGTTTTTTAAGCGTTTTACAGAATTTTTTTGAGTTTCCGAAAAACTTTATTTGAAGTCATTTTAAGTACTTGAACTCACAAATAGAATAGAGTTTACGGATTGCTGGAAATGTGCATATCAACGGCGTGAGAGATCTTTCCTTTGTGTAATTTTTGAAATGACCGAACATACACCGAAATTAACTTTACTCATATTAAAGAGTAGAAATTAGCATTATCAGTTTAAAGTGTTTGAAGACAAAATTTAGAGACATTTTTGAGAAAATTGCTTTTGAGCGTCTCTGAAAATAGACAATTTGAGTTAATTTTCACAGAAAACGGAGTTTTCAAGAAACTTTATATGACATTATTTACTGCACATGTACTAATAAATACAATAATGTGAACAAATTGTCGCTAATATAAATATTAACAACATGAGAGACAAGTAAAAAAATACATGTTTGTAATTTTTGAAAAAACAAAAGAATAGAGCAATATGATGTTTACGTCATCTCTTAGCGTAGATAAAGCAGTATCCCTGCCGAAAGTTTAAAGAGAAATTTGGAGCCGTTTTTGAGAAAATCTTATTTTTGTATTCTTTTAAAAAATGCACGTATTGCGCGAAGACTACTAAAATTTTCAAAAAATGTACACGACCGTAATGAAAGAACTCACTATGAAGAACAAATTTTATTTGAAGGAAAAATGTCTATCTTAATTTTGTAGTTGTACAAAGACCGAAGAAGTCATACTTCCGAAATTTTCGAAAATTCAGAGTTAACCGTGAAAATCG